GGCGACATCTTATTAATATCTTACTGAGATGATTGTGCCTTTACCTCCAGAACGGCTTAACGGATTTCGGTAAAATTTGGCATAGATGTAGAACATCATCTGGAAGAACACAAAAACTACAATTTTTTTAAATCCGCGCTCCCGGAGCTCGGGCAAAAGCTATGTTGCATAAATGTAGGTAAATAAGCAATGTGTTAGTCACTCTACCTTAACTACGCCTTACCTTATCTCTACATATTATTACAAAGTTTCATTGCATACAACCTACACTATAACGTCTATGTTCCATTTTAATGCAAAGAGGATACATAATTTAAAATGGGATTTTAAAGCTTATTGCTATAGCAGCTAGGTTCAAATCCGATTGAAATTATTTTAGTCGTCGAGATTATAAAAAACATAAATACGTCTTCGATCAATTCTTCAGTTAACGATGCCATGTTTACCGAGGGGTCTGGTTTTCGATTTAATTTTATTAATTCGATTACATCTCTATGCTGACTATCAAAAGGGCAATTGTTCAACTTCCGTTGTCTGGAGACATCATTTCTTTATAACAAGTTCTGTAGTTAATTTTTTTCCGTACTTGCTTAATTTGTCTCCGTACAAGACCACGTCTGTATATATTAATCTTACTTATATTGTAGATGCGATTTAGATGTATGGATTGCAAGATGGATGTATAGAAAGTATATTCGGAGCGGTTCAACGGATCTCGATTAAATTTGACACAGATGCAGAACATAATCTGGATGAACACATTTACTACTTTTTAAGTTTTCTTAATTCCATGCGGATAAAGCCGAGGGCGACAATTAGTAAAAATACGCATGACTACAATATTAACAGATTATATTAAAATGTATGTAAAATATTGTATTTTAAGATAGTATAATCTATCCCTAACAAAACCTAAAATATGTGAAAGCATTTTAAGATCCTTAGAAAAGATATTAAAATTACGTTATCTAACATTAGTCTCGTGAATGCCTTGAGTAAATACATTCTTATCTTAAATCCTCTCAGATAAAAAATATAAAGTGAACAGGTTTTACTTGTATTTCTTTAATTATCAGCATCTATATAAAGGTCGAAAGTCCATCGACTAGCGGTTAAGGATATCCCTTTTAATATGGCAAATGCTTCTCATGAGTAGTTCTTGCCTAATAGAACATGTGGTCTTGACCTCATATCGTGTGATACAGGTCATGGCTTTAGAGTAATTAAACCCTTACCTATTTATGTTGTTAATTAGAATTAACTAAGCTTATATTGTGGGTGTGGGGATCGACGTATTATGACTAAGCATAGATGAAACAATTTAATATTTACCAAAAACTAGCTAGCGTTGTCTTTATCTATGAGATTGTTGATTTTACATCAACATTATTTCTTGTATTTTATTACCAAATAACATCTTTGTCAATTGTCGACATATTTCAGCTAATTTTTAAATGCCATGAATATTTAGAAGTTCATATTTTTCCAATGGGAATTCACGCTATTAATTAAAGTGGTCAGTAATTTTTTCCGCTTTGAAATAGACGTGGGGCAAGTTAATTTGGTGTGTGTTATGATTTACTAGTATTAGCCCGCGGCTGCATCCGCGCAAAATCTATCTAATCTATCTATAATAATAATCTATCTAAACATTTTATTTATAATATTAGCAACAATATATTTACCGTCGGTTTCTAAAACCAAAATACTCGTTTAATCAAACATAATGACAAGGATGTAGATTGTTTTATACATATACATATAGATTTGGATCTTAATCATTAACAGATCAAAAGAAAAAATCCCTATTGGTACAATGATATATATTAACACTCCCCCGTTAACGAAGCGTGAAGATGTAAATAATGATAAAGTCAACGCATGTCCAATACTTTTAACAATAGTGACTAATCAATCAATATTGTAATTTTCTATGGTACAATTGAATCTCATTGGGAGACTTGCCTTTATAAAATATAATATGCGGGTTGCATACAAGATATCGTTATCATGTGATAATCGCTTTTTAGTTGCATTATCTAATTTATAGCTAATTTATTTTTATTATGCACTCAAAATTTTATTCATGATAAAGAATTGATACCCATTTATCTATCGTTTGGATAAGTGACATGACTATTGTTTATTTTGCAAATGTCGTTAATAAAAAACATTAATAGGGTAACGAACTCTAGTACGAGATACTCAAAAAGGTCATAATATGTTATTTTTCTTTTAATTTAAAAAGATTTATTGATATATCAAGATGGCATTGCGTTGAAGTTTACTAGATTTCTTCCTATTTTATTAAAATCTTTTAAAATTCGAAGGATTTTTATTGTCATTATTTTTTGTATAACCTAATAGTTAAAATGATCAAATTCAAAATTAAAAAAATAGTAGGTAACTTAAATCTAGCAGTCGCCTGCGACTCCATTCACACAATTGAAAAGACTTAATTAGCAGCCTACGTGTTCTTTCAGACTATCTTTTACATCAAATTAAAGCGAGATATGTTTTGCTGTTCTGAAGATACCTCATAACAAATTCCCATCCATATGAACGCATTTATAATATTAGTAAGATGATAAGCCGTCGCGATGGCAAAAACCTTGAAACTGTCCCCCTGTTAAGATATTTTAGGGATAGATACCGTCCCATATGATACAACGTCCCTTTTCTTTTGGCACGTTTCCACGTCTTATTCTAACCCGACAACAATTTTAATATCGTATGACGTAAGACTTTTAATTACTGTTTTAACTGTTGTAACTTTTATTTACTACTGGTAAACTTATTTTACTTACTTACTGAAAAACATTTACATTGTTTTTCTTTTTTCATTTTTCGAAAATCAAAGGTCAATTATGCTAGTGAATGATTATATCAAAAATAATTCGATGAAAAGTAAGCTTAGGTATTAATCAATGGGTTCAGTATACAACAAAAACACTCGGCTTTTGTATAATCTTTCTAATATTAATGCGAATGTTTAGATGCATAGAAAGATGGATGGATGTTTGTTTGAAGTTATCTCGAGAACGGCTGCATGGATATGGCTGAAATTTGATATAGATGTAAAACATAGTCTAGAAGACATAGGCTACTAATTAAGTTGTTTTCTAATTCCGCGAGGACGGAGTTGCGGGCGTCACCTAGTAGTTACATATCTTTCATCTTGTCTTTTCTTTAACCTTGGATTTCTATTGTCGTAACACATATAAAATACACATTCTCATCTCTCTTTTTAATAAACAGAGATATCTTAATCTGATATATAAAATTCTCGTGTCACAATTTTCGTTCCCGTACTCCTCCGAAACGACTTGACCGATTCTCATGTAATTGTGTGAGTATATTGAGTAGGTCTGAGAATCGGCTACTATCTATTTTATAATCCCGCTTAGACGGAGTCGCGGGCAACAGCTAGTATTGTATATTAATTTTCTCGGTGGCAACACACAGAGGAAAATTCTAAATCAACCGGAAATTACACTATTCCAGTCCTATTTGATATCAAAGAATGCGTTTTAAAATCTGCGTTCATTATAAAATTCAAACCTTGTGATATTTTTAAAAATAGGTCATGCTACAATCAGCTGTTTTACAACTATTTTACGAGTAACACAGATTTATGTCGCGAGAGTAGGTGTTTGCATCCGCTATCGTTTTAAACGTGACGACGCAAGTCAGTAGGTAACATTGACTCACTTGAAAAGAACGTTTTATTTATGCAAATTACAAAGTACATTTTAGTTTATTTAAAGGAAAATGGAGACACCTCTTAAGGCCACGTTAAGTCGGTGGCGGTTTTTTTACAGAGCTCTTGAGACAAAATAAGAATACCTGGTCTAAAATGATTCATAACAGAATACTCTATTAATTATTTGCATATTATTTATAATATAGTAAAGTAGTGACCAATGTAATATTTCAAAGCTTCAAATTGCAGTTGAATATTGCGGTTAAATAAGGCTTCGCACCTATTCAGTGGATAACCGCAATGACATTTATTGGTTACCGCAGACAGCTGTGTAAACAAATCACAAACGTAAGCTGTGATAAGAAATTTAAAGGCGAATCATTTTTTTGTGAGTCGATAATATTTATTTACAAGCTGGACTGAAGCGTTGAATGTGACAATTACGATAATACTCATAAGAAGAATTCAGTTACATTGCAATTTTTTAATTTTAAATTTATAGGCAGACAATTTTTAGATATTTGAGACACAAACATTCTCTGGTGTCTTCAGAGCACTATACCAAAATTTTACCTTTCTCACCAGTGGTTTAGGTATCAACCTTTAAGGGGTGAACATAAATAAGAAACATAAATTCTATAAAAACATCATCTCCTATCGTTACGTCTTACAGTTTATACATTGACTAGCTTTCGCTAGCGACTCCGTCTGCGCGGAATTAAAAAAAACTTAATTATGCCAAATTTCGAGATCCATACAGTCCTTCTGGAAATACTTCAAACATTCATCCATCCATCTAAACATTCGTGTTTATAATATTAGTAAGATGAAAAGAGCATCTTCTATTTCGAGTACCGTTAAAGGGAAATGCGAGAAATATAATTTAAAAGCACCAGCACGTAAACTTAATATGCAGTTGAATTCAAGATTATTTTAAAATTGAGCCGTTTAAACCGTTTAATAAAAATAAGCAACCGCATGTGTGATGTTTTGGATTCCTAAACAGGTTGTGGCGGTTTCATAATGTCAGTTTCGCCTTGGCCGCATAATGCTCACAATATTATAGTAGCTATCACTTAAAAATAAAACATTTATAAGCAAAATGTAAATAAATATTTACCTAAACCAACGTTTATTCGAAGTTACAAGAGTATAAGATACATAAATATATTGACTACTGATATGCAAATTCTTTAAACCAAAATAACAAACACAAAGTATCAATAAGATTTTGCGCATTTACTTTAGTTGCGTAAAACTCAAACGGTATTATAGTAAATGCATTAGTCATACTCACCATCATGTGCGAAAAATGCAAATAAAACTACAGGAACAATTAAAGCGAATCTTGCCATTTTTACAAAAATATCACTCGCGCTCAAAGAAAAGTTGGACGGATAACAAACGTTACGAAACACACAACACGAACGAATGCTAAACGGCGAGTGAATGTGAATGGAATGGAACGAAGTAGCGCGCGGGAGTCACCAATCTGTGGAACGATGGCGATGGTGAGGCGAGCGTGTCGCGACACGGTACGGCGCGGCAGGGCGTAGTACGCGAAAGCGGTACGCGTGTTACGTATGATACCAAAGCATGTCATAGATTATACATAAACAGATGTGCCATGCGTTAAAGATTGTGTTGAAAATTTCATTTTGGCAGATATAATAACTTTCTTACGGGATATCCATATTCATGAGTCACTTCGTTTTGTATATTTATTCATTAATATGATTTTTATGAGAGTTATCTAGAATCTAGACTAGAATGATACAACATAACAATCAGGTATGACGAGAATTCTTCCTTCAAAAACCTCTTTGTACGTTTTTTATCTTTAAATAAAATAATCTTTGCCATGATTGACCACAATCTAAACACATTACGTAATGTTGCTCTCTTTGGATGTCATGTTTTTATTCAAAACAAAAATGTTCGTTGATCTTATTAATTAAATTGTAAATAGGTGATTAATATGGTAATCTCTATGTAGTTCTTTATTCGAATTTAACAGTGAAACTGATCTTTAACCATCTTTTGTAACGGAAATTAGTTTTCAGTAGTAATTTTATGACTACCCAAAACGCGAATGCATATCAAAAATATAACGAAAAGATAAATGGGGCCAATCGTTCGTACATTCAGACATATTAACCTAAATCTACTTAGTATTAATATTAATACATTTCTATTTTTTGCGACAAGTTTATTTTGCGTTTTGGTTTCTCTTAAACCTAAAACCGTACGAATTGAAAGCTTGTACAGCGAAGTACATTGACCATAAATATACGAGTTGACCTCATTGGATAGTTACGTGGTACAAATTTTAAATATCAACATTTCTCTTTTACGTCTTTGCGTATTTTGACCGAGAATTCGAACTGCATCAATTATTGGTACTTTAGCTGTTGGCGACGTAGAATTCCTGCCGATTGGAAACTGAGGTAAGTTAATAGCTTACTCCAATTACTGATCACCCTGTTTCGATCAATACAAGGTTCCTATTTAAAGTATTTTGTATCAGGCCTTAAAAATCCAACTGCTTGGTTCTATAATCATCATCAGCTCACTACACGTCCCCAGCAAGGGGCGCGGAGCCTAGGCTATAAGTTAGGGGTAACTAGGCCATAGCCAAACCACGCTGGCCAAGTGCGGGTTGGTTAACTTCACACATATATTTGAATTTCTTCTCAGATATGTGCAGGTTGCATCACGATGTTTTCCTCCACCGTAAGAACGTCGGACACATTGGTACAAGGCAGGATTCGAACCCAGGACGTGCACATTGCAAGTCAAGGGCTAGACTCCTGAGCCACCGACGCTCTAAATAACATAGTTATAAATAATGTAGTGCTTGTGTTATATAAATTGACAACCTTCACGGACGATGAATCAGCATCAAGGTAAGCAAGTAAACAAGGTGTTTTTTTGTTCGAAGTGATGTCGCCGTTAGCACGATAAGCCATTTAAGTCATCAAGCAGCGATGTAACCTACTTGAAATGATCACTGTTATTATGTCTGAGAAAAATAATTTTCAAATAAAAGGAATGAGTTCGTTTGAATTTTTAGAACACTGAAGTTTTTCATGCAATTATTTGCAAGGTTAAAGGAAATTATCGTCACGGTGTAAATCTAAACGTGGGTAGTATGTCATATTTTGCAGATGCTTCCTTCACAAAAGCTATGATGACCTCAATCGAACACGTAATAGTATAACACATTTGCCTCGAGAGTTTGTCAAAACTTTTCTATCAAAAGAATTGTTTATCAAGACCACTCTGACTTTAAAAAGTACTTTTTATCATTTTATGGTCCAAACAAAACAGAAAATTCATTCGCTTACTATCGTATACCTTTAAGTTCAAGTAACCCAAGTATTTAAGTTTGTGCACGCCAAACCTTTTATCGCCAATCGCCATACAGTTAGAAAGAGAAAGTAGCATTCCGGTTTTGTAACCCAAGCGATGAAGTAATTCGGACGGAAGAGGTCAATAACGTTATATACATATTAAAACTAAATTGGATTCAAATACTCTAAAAAAAGTTACGTAGTGCAAAGCACTCTCTTTAATCCAAATTTACAGATGGAAAACACTTGATGTTATCGAGTATATGAGGGCAGCTAGTTTGGACCACTTTCAGATTCTTGAAGTAACCAGATGGCATTAGTTGGCAAGCGTCTATAAATTTTGGACAGTTACTAACGTTTACAGTTTTTTAATCATACTCGTATCAAATGCCAATTCTTTTTGTGTTAGAGACGAAGTGATAAGTCGTTTAGAATTTTAAAAATGATTCTTACGAAAAAAAAACAAGATATAGAAGAATCGATGGACTGAGTAGATATCCAATTCTTGTAAATCTCTTAAAAAAATGTGGCCTAAATTAAAACATCGAAAATTTCATTGTACAAATCGCTTTATTTTAAAACAACATTTTAAAGTAAACTATGAGGTAACTAACGAGACTTGCTTTCTTTAACATTGTATCAAAGTCCGTTGGAGGCATGCCACTAAAATTTAACACATAGTTAAATTTTTTTATACTTTGAGTTTGAAACAACTGCAGTTTAAATTATTCAAACTTTGGTAAGACATTATAATAAACTTATATAAAAACGGCTCTAACACTCACGTATATTCGTCCACTCACCCCAATGATTCCCCATTCAGCCTGATGAAGGGCCCCCGAAGGGCTCGAAAATAATCGGTGCCGCCACCGGACGAATATACGTGAGTGTTTTAGTTGTTTTCAACTGCAGTCTGTTAATATTTAAGAAACAGTATATTTAACAGCAATAGGACTTACAATAATAGTGAACAGGGCTAAAGTTATATCAGAAATGGATCGGAAACCGCTGTTGGTGTTACATTTATTACCGAAACATTCATGACAATGTAATAATTGAACAATATCTCCATGTCCCTCGTGAGCTTTCCTGATGTCTTCACATGAACCTCTCTCGGAAGCACAGCCACGAATGTACCACGATCTCTTCATGTCTATACCAGAAAGTAAACTTTCCTTTATATTGTTTTAAAACTTCCAGCTATTAATCTCTTAAGATTCAACTTAAATTATAATAGTTATACAAAACTGTAGAAACTACTACAAAGAGATACATTGTACAGAAGAACGAAAGAGTTTTAAATTAAGGAAAGTTTGTCTAAAAGTGGCCTTCAATCGAATTGTAGAGAATGAAGAATGTAATTTTCTGAGGAAATGTATTTACCGAGCCCAGTAATCGTGAATGGTCACTTAGGGTACACTTTAGCCCAGTTTTAGTAATAAAACACAGAATGTGGCAATAAGTGAATAAAATTTGGGTATGAATTTCTTTACTTACGTTTATATCTCTCTGCATACATTACACATCTTTTCTCTCTTGTAACATCGAGTGTGTGTGGACATAATTTCGTTGTTGTATTCTCGTATAACTTTGGACAATCAGTACAGACGAAACATTCCACCACGTCTATCACAATTTGTGCAGGTCTTGTGTTCTGTTGGACTGAAACTTGCGGGTGAGGTCTACCCATGTTAAAGTTGTTCATAGCCTTTGCATTCCCTTGCGCAGATGCAACTTTATCCACGTCTTCTCTATCCTCATCTATTTCATCGGGTACTTCGACTTTGTGTAAATCTAAGTCGCCTATTCAAATATTAATTGAATTATTTTTAGATGTTTGAAAATTTAGATCGGTGCCCACAGACATTTATAATAAGGTTTTCATTGCGCTGTCTACGTTTAATGGACAGATGTAACAATGAACAGAATAATGCTATGTTGCCTTTATGAAAAGGAAATTACATTACTCAACCATATCCACTTTCCCTGACAACTCTTTCTTATAGAAAATAGTAGGCATTCTAACAACTGAATGATAAAATTCTTAAAATACTAATAAACAAAGTTTGTTAAAAGGGAATTCTAATTGATTATCACCTGATGATTCAGCGAGTTTCAAATATGCCACAGAAACGGTGAACACCGCGAAAACTAACACGAACCTATTCATCGTGCTATGAGTGTCGTTACTGTCCACGTTGACTTGGCGTCAGCGGTAATATTTTATACGATCATATTACGATTGTTACCAATAAATACATCACGCTCGTACGACCCTAAATGTATGCAATCGTTAGCGCGAATCGCAGATATTTGTGGGCCGTGAATTCAGTATGCACATAGACAATACACAGTTAATTAAGTAATATTGTATTGTAATTTATTCATGTCCAGTAAAGGATTAGGTCTATTAGCGCTGTGGACCAGCAGGGATATGTGACGCTGTAGTTCGCAGACCAGTGGCGTCGCTTTCTGTCCAGCGCCCAGGGTGGTCACCTCGACGCGCCTTAACCTATCTCTGGCACTCTTTATATCACTTATCGTCCTGACGAGCAGAATATTGAGAAGATTTATTATGACAGATTTTGAACTAAAATCAATCTTACTGACAAATATTATAAATGCGAATGTTAGGTATATGAATGGATGTTTATTAAAAGTTATCTCCAGAACGGCTGCATGGAACTCGCTGAAATTTGGCATAGATGTAGAACATAGTCTGGAAGAACACATTACGCTACTTATTAAGATTCTTTTATTTAGGCGCACGGAGTCGCAGGCGACAGCTAGTAAGCGTATAAAGTTAAAAAGATATTTTTAATACTTCTTTCTTTTATTTAATTAAAAAGTAGACGTAAGAAATGCCTGTACGTTAGATAGTTTGAGTTTGTTGTAGAACAGTTGTTGTAACAAGGAATTCTATATGATTGTCTCACAAAAGAGGTCTGATGTAGTTGAAAAAATGCAAACTAAATCTGCTTTAGATGATGAAAGGTTCATTTATCTTTATTTATTTTTCTCCCTTTAATTTAACACGATTTAAAGTATCTAATATATGGTATTAAATATATTTAGGTAAATATTAAAATTGTCACAGTTGTCATAAAGCGTATAGAGCTAGCTAGATATATGTAGCTGAGGCATTAAAATGCTGCTAATTAATTAAAACATCTTTTTATGAAATGTGACTTATTAAAAATAAAATGGTGTTAAAATGAAACATAATAAGCAATGTTTTATTGATTTTTATTAAAATACGTTCATCTTAAAAGGACGGTCAAATTCTACTTATATACATAAATGCTTTTTAAATATTTTCTTTACACATTATGCAAAACAGAAAGTATCAAGGCATTAATTTTGTAAAGCAAAGCTAATACAACAATATACAACATTAAATTTTATATTTAAAGAACAACATTTTTTTTAAATAACTTTCCATCTTGTCAATATTAAAAATATGTAAATTAAAAACTTTAAACTTGGTACAATAATTAAAATATAATATGTTAAATATCATTTTGGTATTTGATTGTTTGCGAAAAACATTACGTACAACTGTCTTCTAATGAATTAAAATATTAATCTTAAATATATTTGTTATGTCTAAAAATAACAAAGCATAAAATAACAATGATATTGGACGGTTCTAGTTAAAAAGGTATTTCATATTTTGGCACACCAAATAATTTTAGCATTTGCGTAAAGCAGTTGGTGCGTTGCAAAGCGTACCAATGGCATTGTTATTTTAATTTCTTATTATTGTTTGTAAAAGAGATACGAAGCGATAAGCGCTAAAGCGGCCAGTGGGAATGAGAGAGCGATAGATCCAGCTCCATTGCAGTCATCCTTGTCACAAACTTGACAATGCTTGACTTGCTTTGACTGGTCCATGGGTGACAATTTCGAAGCATTTTCAAGAGCACGGCAAGTCTGGTTCAAGTCGGTAGGGTTGGCGTCCAAGCAAGTTCGAATAGTTGCGCCATTCTCTGTAAAACCAAAAATACATTTTATTGACAACGAATTTCAATGAAGCACTAACGTAATTCAACTTTTTATTATAAATGAACTTAACTATGCAAAGAGGAAATCGAGATATTTTTATGCAAATAAAATAAAGTATAACTAAAATAATACGATAAACGTGGAAATTTTATTAATGAAAGGAAAGAAACGCTCGTTATCCACTAGCGTAACTGGCGCGCAACATCTATGGCGCGCAACTGATATTGCGCGCAACTGACTTTGCGCGCAATGATGCTGATAGTACAGGTCCGTTAGTAGAAAATTGTTTTAAAATGTGTTGTAACAATACTAACGCATGACAATCTTGTGGCAGTATCTAGGAGCGCCCGCGATAGCATCCACCAGCTCGTTGGGCAAGATGCCACGCAAATATGCGCGATTGTAGTTCACTGAGTCCTGGGTAGAACATTCCTGGAAATAAAAAAATTGTGATAGTTATTATTTGTACATTTGTTTTTATATAATCATGGTCTTTAACACTTACCACTTTATTTTTCCCAGAGAATGGATCCTTGCAAGTCGGATCCGATTGTGAATTACACTGGTAACATCTCAAACACGAACCTGTAATCAGATATTTGGAACTCGTCAATATATTATGTTAATACTAATAGTTAAAGCACAAAAATTCTTACAAAATTTCATCGTAAAATAGAAACCTGTAGGAAAGTTAGAAGTAGAGTCAAATGTACAGTTTTTTGTTTTATTTCATTGTAAACATAGTTTGTATAATAATTACAAAATTATTTGATAATATATTCCAAAGGACGGATCTTTAAAATTATCCATCAGTTTTCTTGCTTACTAATTTCTTAAATGACTCCTAATTGTAGCTAATTAGTGTCATAGAGTCAACGACTAATTCAATTAATTGAAGTTGTAGAGGAAAGATTGAATGATTAGTTGTAGGAATTTTTCTTCTAGTAAAGCACTTAGAACTCCGATAAAATTAATTTGAATCAATATCAATAAAATTATAAGCCTCTACTGTCAATAAAAAAGTAAACTGATATATAAACACGGTTAAACACTCTCGTATATTCGTCCGGTGGCGGCACCGACTAGTTTCGAGCCCATCGGGGGCCCTTCATCAGGATGAGTGGTACTGGTATTATTTCGCGGACGCGGCCCGTCGCTCACTGCGCGCCTGCGCTCTTAGGGCGCGTTTTGAGGGGGCGGGGGGCGCGGGTTGCGCCGGCGTCTTCGACGATGTTGATACCAAAGCGTCGGTGGTGTTGTTGAAGTTGAAGTGGCCGAAAGTTTGAATAATTTAATAAAAAAGTAATAAATAAGAAGTGTTTTCTTTCCTTTTTTAAAAGTAATTGCGTAAAAAATTTGATGACAGTACAGATATATTGTTATTTATAATCATTATCTTATTTAATAAATTCGTTCGGCAATGTCTTTCATAATTTGTCGTCATAATTTGGTGTCTTAGTTCAATCCACATAAGTACAACACTATACAAGTACCAAAACTGTATGTGTTCAAAATATTGCGTCATACATTCGCCTGGCACGTTCGTTTGAATGATGTCAAGATTATAATTTAACCTCCGTTGACCAAACTAAGAATATGTTAGTCATACTATACAAGTGTATGTCACCTTACACCGAATCGTTTCGCTTTGTGAACACGAATTAAACCAACTTGATAATTTGAATAAACGTCAAACGCAACAGCTTCTCATACTTTGTATGTAGATGTAAAGAAGCTTTGCTCATACAGGACTAATAAATATGTTTTTAGTCATATCTTTGTGGCCTTTAAAAATGTTTATAATTATATAATACTGGTTGTCACCCGCGACTCCGTACTCACGAAATAAAAAAAAAATAGTAATCTATGTGTTCTTTCAGACTATGTTCTATGCATCCATCCAAACATTTGCATTCATAATATTAGTAAGATTTATACATATTGTACTGAAAAAGTATGGAACTATATATTTGTGAATTTTTTTAATGTTTTATTGATAAAAAATTCACATGTTTTTTTCTATTTTCCATTTGACATTAAAGATGAGTATATTATAAAAGTAAATAATACAATATAATAACAAGACAATGACGACATATTCATAAATAAGAATAAGTCGTATTTTTCACATTGTATTTTACATAAAAAAATAAACACGTATTTTATTAACATATTATCTTCGCCATTTCGATCGACTGATGGATACTGGAACTCGACTGATTTCAATAATTGTGATTGGTATAATTCCTTTTCCCGGTAGTGTTAGTACAATCAGACGACATACTGTGTGTTAGAAATTAATTACTGGTTGAAAAAGTTGTTTACTGGAAGACGTGAAAGGTGAGTCAGGACATCACTAAATGATCCGCAAGCTCTCCCTACCAGTCTTGGTTACGAGTTGTTTAAAATAATTTAAAATTAACAGAGCGTAGCAAATTATTGTCACCCTACATTGTAATATCACACACGTGTTAAATGTGGTTTGTACCAGTTAACCATTGTTGTAACAAGATTCTCAAGTTACAATTCAAATCTAGAATTGTTTTAAGATGTTACACTTACGTAGTAGACCTTGGACTGTTTTGTTATCCTTAAAGCTTTTAAGGTCTACTAAAATGTTAACATTTTTCCTTATCAACTGCCATTAATTGTACGATCATATGAAAATTTAAATATTTTTGAATACAATAAAAACTAAATGGTTTGAATATTGGTTACTTTTTACAGCGGAAATAAGCAAACTACATAAGCTTTTAAGAGCGTACATATGCTAATTTAGTAACAATGTCATGTGACACATAAAATGTGTATTTATGCTACACCTGAATACATATATATCTAATATTATCACGATAGTATACTAACTGTATCGACAAACTTCTAGATTGATGATGTCATCGGCTCAATGTACGTACGTATATTTAGACGGTGAGCGGAACACCCAAGTTTGAGTCGCAAATAGACTGAGTTTCTATACTACGTGTCCAGGAAAAGGAGCCTTGATCTTTATAAAAGCATTTTGTTATTATTTGTACTGTAATATATATATTTTGTTTTAAATACTGATTTTTTGATTAGTAAACCTAGTATTTTGCGGATGAAATGAGCATTCTTTTTAAATTGCAATTCTGATAGAGAATTTTGCAAAATGCTGGAATGATTTTGCAAAAGCCTTCATAATAGGAATGTAAAATTATTTATAATTTAAACACTATCCTTAATCAATCTTGTTATCTTTAAATTATGCGATAAATCTGATAGCGTTTTTAAGGACATTTGGCATTCTTTCCAAATTAAATTCATTAATAATTAAAAGTTAAAATAATTTATTTAATGTAGTTTTTCTAAAATGTTATGTGTATATGTCCAACATACATATGAAATATGTTTTAATCGTGAATTTAAAATATCTTTCTGATAAAAACAGAAGATATGTAAATCAAGTATTCGATATGTTAATCTTCAGAACCATGAAATCTAATAACATAATATTCACACATACATATAATATATGAATATTCGTAAACAATGTATAAACGGAAGCATGTCTTATATACTTGCCATTTTACATAGCACTATAGTACTGAATAAGTTTGAGTCATTGTTATGTATTCAACTTGTCAATTACTCAACCGTGGAAAATCAAACAATACTATGTAAATATTTATAAACGCAAAGTTCTTTCTCATGAACAAATTTACATAGTTGTACTGGTTACTGCGGGTTTCTGAGACTAATATATTTCATTATCTTTGACAAAACAGAGATTTAAATGAAGTTTTTGGTCTCAGAAACCCACGGTTAGTAAGTCAGTTCATCATCATCAGCTCACTATACGTCCCCACCGAGGGGCTCGGAGCCAACCCTAAGTTAAGGGTGATTTTTGAAGTTGATTAAGGGTGAGGGTGTAAGTCAGTTAAATAAGTTTAATGTACAAAAACGAATGTAGAAACATATATTTTAAATTCGCTTATTCTCTTAAATAAACCGGAGAATTTTTTTTGTACAGGTGCTTCGGAAATGGAAATCCTTAGTTGTATTAATAAATTTAAAAAAAACAATGGCTTAGTATTACTTGACTTCAAGCTAAGTAAATTGCACGCGTGTTCTGTTAAATTTCTTTTTTTCTAGTGGCTCTTTATCGCGTAATTATCAGTAAAAAAAAAACATTTTTTCATCTTCCCGTTACAAACAACACCTTCGTTAACAAATTACTAAAATCAAAACTTTCAATTTTTATCATTCATTCAATTGAGATTAAAAATATTAAACATTCTATTTTGTGTAAACAAAAAACATTCGTTACAATGTTAGTATAATCGACAGTAAGAAATTGCTAAGAATCGATAACCTTATTTACGAGTATGTTTGATACAGTTATTGCAATTTATAATCGTTCTTTGAACTCGCATATAATTTAAACAATTTGAAAAAACAAAACAACTTTAAATGCCACATACAAAGTGATAACATTTCAGCAGTTGTTTAATGTAGATTTTTCTAAATAAATAAACTAAGGGTCACCCTTAATGATCACTAATTGTCTCAGTATTGCAATGAGTGAAGCATTACGATACAATATCATCATCATCAGAACACTAGTAGACTCCAAGCCTTAGTGGGATGACTCCGAGCCTAAGTGGGATAGCTCCCCACTAAGCCTCGGAGTCTACCCTAAGATAGGGGTGATAAGCCCATAGTTAACCACGCTGGCCCTGTGCGGGTTGACTTCACACATAACTTTGAATATTTTCGCAGATATGTGCAGATTGCAGAACGTCGGATAAATGTTACATATGTAAATTGAAAATCGAAAAACACATTAGTACATGGCTGGATTCGAACTCAGGACCTGCAGATTACAAGTCAAGTGCCACTAACGCTCTACGACACAATGAGACAGTAAGATTTAGCAAAATTATCTAGGTGCTTCTAAATGTAAAAAATTTCCGTAATGTTAGGATGTTAGTCGCATCAATGAATGGAAGCCTTGGATGAGGTGATACAAGGTCGGTTGTGTCATTCCGACCATTGTTTGTTATGGGTTGTTTAGTGTTCGTTTGTAGTAAGTACTTAGTGGCAGTTCATGAATCATTGCATGTACAATCGATTCGATTGTTCTGTTTTATGCTTGTAGTCAATTGACCCATTATTTTTTTTGTCATCGCGAAAATTGTTTCATGAATTTTAATTAAAAATGTTGACGTTCTGAGTAGGAGTTTCATTTGGGTTATAATTAATGTAGCAATAATTTTAGTGTTGTCATTTTATCCATCCAAAAGAACTTTCTTTAGAAACTTGGTAATTGTTCTCAAATGCTTTATGTGGCATTCTTTTAATTTTAAAGTAGTAAAAAATAAAAAAAAATGTTTTCATGTATTAGCAAATATCTGTCCATTAAGTTTCGAATAAAAAACATCAAATAGGTTTTATATGGTATTTAAAAAAATAAATTACTTCTACACGTCAAGGCCCGTGATATGGATTTAAAACGACTTTTTCGTATGGCAAACAGCAGTATACAGATTAAAATTTCACACAAATTTTCGCCTATTGCAGTCTCTATTTTTTCCAAAAGAATGTAAGAGATGGCAATATGTGTCCATACAAGTCAAAGCAGTCGAAACCCACAGTCAAATTAAATAAAGCATTTTTTTAATTTGTTAGATTTGCTATGTTCAGCGGACTTAGAATATTCACTAGTATTTTTCCAACAAAATAAAACATTAGCATTTTAGTATTATGGTTAGGAAAATGCTTGCTTGTGACATTGCTTAGTAGAGACAGTCGAATGTCTGGATGAATGTTTGTTAGAAGGTGTGTCCAGAACGACTGTATGGATCTCCATGCAATTTGGTATACATATAGAACATAGTCTGGAAGAACACATCGGCTACTAATTAAGATTTTTTTTTATTCCGCGCGGACGAAGTAACAGACGACAGCTAGTTTACTATATTTATATCGATTATCTTATGAGAGCTATAGTCAATTATCTTCGACATTTATTTTATAAGTATGATGTCATGTTGTTGTTCTGTTCGTACTGCGTAGAACTTGAAGTAAACGAATAACCTTGGTTTACGATAAATAACACCTGTCTGTGTGAATATAAATTACTTTGTTTAACATACACCCCTATAATTAAAGGTTAATAGTAACAAGATTAGTTAAATTTAACTACTGGAATTTTCACAAGTTAGTAACACGGCTTGCTCGTAAAGAGATGGTACACCATGATTACTATCGTCAATTGATAATTTAACGTAGTCTGTTTAAAAGTTTCTCTTAAACATAACACAGTATTGTTCTTTATCTTTTAGTGGAAAAAGAAAGATCAATTTATACCGATTGGTGACCTAAAGTAGTCTAAAAGTAAAAATGATTGTAGAGTAATTTGTATAAGGATTGTGCTTAAGAGAATTTTGTAATCTCTGCCTATCCATTTCCCTCAAGCTTGAATGTTTATGAGTCGTTATGTTTCAAAATATTTTAAGCTCTTTAATTATAACGACATTTCATTATAATGATTAATCTTAAGTTCATGTTTTAAATTCAGCCAGTTTCATTAATGTATGAATCATCAATTAGAAAGAGGATTAATTCAATTGTTTCAACCTTCTGTGACATGTGACATAACTTATTACGTATGTTGAAAGGAATTAAACTGACAGTAGTATGAGTTTCCACTGTCGGAAAACATGTTTTTTGAGTTTTTTTATGAACAGTGTGGTAGACGAGATTGTTTTTCTCTAATTGAGACAGTTAAAACCCACCCAATACAAACACATTCAATTAGGAATAAGGTTATTAAATAGAAATGTTACACGACAAGGAGGTAATAAATAAAAAGGTTGTATATTTAAAAGATTTCAGAAGAAGAAAAAAGCAATTAAACGATGGCAATAAATTAGAAAACCACATTGAACGAAGACTAAAATATTCTGTGACTATTTTATTTTGTAATAGCTATTGCCGTTGACTCCTTTACTTTAAATTAAACAGCGTAATCCATGCAGTGAAGATACATTAGCATTTATTTTATGAGTAAGATTAAGAATTAAGATATGTCAGGATAAAATTCAATTATTAAGTCCATGTAACATAGGAAAACAATGACATATAGATGTAAATTAAGTCCGACGTTTTCAAGAGACAGTATGTGGTCATATAAGAGTAAAAACATTGAATAGTCTAAGACAGTCTTTCCCAAAGTGGGCGATAACGCCCCCTTGTGGGCGCTTTAGGTCTCAAATTGCGGGTTATAGTAAAAGTGTCGTTTAGAATTCTCCGTTAATATACATATATAGGTCACAATAATTAATTAATTTAATTTGAAGTTATACTTCTTTTGAAATATGTGAAAATATGGGGGCGCTAAAAAAATATTTATTCTCAAAGTGGGCAGTAGACAAATAAAGTTTGGGAACCACTGGTCTAAGAGATGGTAATAGTCAATGTTCACAGAATTCGTACGCAACAAACTCGTGTAATGCGCAGTCGTAAAAATCTGGATCTTTTCCAGAAAACTGCTGGTTCACAAGAAAATATAAACATGTTAGTAGAACAACGATAATTTAATAAGTCTTCTTTTTTTCTTGCTTGCTTCTAAAAGGATTGGATACTGAACAAAAAATTATCATTTACGTAATCGTCAAAAATCAATACTATGAATCCATTATTTATTATTATTGTCTCAATGTGAATTATTTAGGTTTCATCTTTGGTTTGGTTTGAATTTGGAAAGTTACTAACAAGATGAGCTTTGTAAGAAAACTAGTAATATTATAAATATCATAAATAATTGTCTGGAATAGAATAGATTCAATTTTAGTGTTATAATATATAACACTATATATATACGAGTATAAAAGAAAGTCGTGTTAGTTACACTATTTATAACTCAAGAACGGCTTTACCGATATGGCTGATAATTGGTGAGGAGGTAGCTTAGAGCCAGGAGAAGGACATAGGATACTATTTATTCTTTTTTTTCGAATTTATGCACTGAAGAGCTGCTTTTTATTTAACTTACTAATATTTTAAATGCGAATGTTTAGACGGATCGATGGGTGGGCTACACTAATTATTTTTTTTATATATCCACGCGAACGGAGTCGCGGGCGACAGCTAGTTTATTATAAAGTTGCATTCATAAATAAACTACATCCGTCTCTTTATGACATATTTATTCGCTATTGTAAGGGCTTCTCTTTTAAACTTTTAAAAACATCAAAGTTGACAGCGGCGTTTATCACATATCAACCCAATTTCGGATTTCTAGAATGGATTCCATGAATTTTAATCTTAAGTCAACCAGAATAGACTTCATTGTTCTTTTTTTATTATTCTTTTGGTCAAAAGTATTCGTATCTTAGCATGTTACATGTTAGTACTATGTCATAGAGTTGCCCATTCAAATCCTAATTTGGCATAGGCAATTGGATATTATTGCCAAAGCAGTGTTTTTTCCTTTAACTGATAATTGTTTTTCAATTTCGTTACGATAATGTGATTATTTTTTTTTACTTTATTAAATGTGTTCAAATATAATTTATTTAATTTATACTTATAGTAAGAATCAATGAATAAATAAAGATATATTTTTTTATTATTGGTATTTTGTTACGTCGTTTAATTTTATTTTGATTCCATCATTTGATAACCTAACTTTGTTTCTCTGTTATTATTAACGATACTATTTATTGCTCTGTTATATTAAGTACATTTTTTTAAAATGAAATGTAAATGAAAAACAACAGAAATATTTTATAGAACATATAAATCTCTATCTTAATTTTATTGTAGACTCATTAAATTAAACAACTGAAATAATTATACTGTAAAATTTGAAGACCAAATATACAAAGTCTAGAAATTGATGTTCATAAAATATACAAATTTTACATAGCCTGAAATAACTGAAGTTTGTTTATGTTATCGACGCTACGTGTTCAGAAGTTTGGAATAACAAAACAGATTAAGATATTTACATAATTTTTATTTAAATTTTAAAATTACTATAATTAAAAAAAACGTAGCCGATTTTTTTTTCAAAAAAAAAACGTCAAATAAGAAACATACCGAATTCGAATGCCGTCAGTAGCACGGCGATGCTCAAGGCAGCAAATCCACGGGCCATGGTGATAGTTTTTGTACGAGCGAACCCTCTCAGTGGGTGAGCTAGACTGAGGGAACGCGTCGCGGCGACCGGCGACCGTCGACACTCCGACGCCAGCCAACGCATCGACACGCCGAATAGGGTGGCAATAAATCTACATATTCCATGGACATATTATAAAATATTATTCCGAAAAATATTTTTTTGAAAAATGATTAAGAAGAGAAGAAGAGTGACGTTAAGAAAGTATGGATTGATTGTGTTTGAAAAATATGCGTTCGATGTTATTTGAATTAAGAAACGATGCTTGATAGAGATTAAGGGTAGAGTCATCCTTATATTAAGTGCTTAAGAAGATATCAGCTGATCGAGATATGCCGACCCTGAGAAAAGAACAAGACAATGAATAAGTAGAGAAGACTGAAACAAGAAATCTCTTACTATGTTTTTTTTATTCGTTTAATTAAATACATTTTAAATTATTTTTGTATGCATATATTGATTAATTATAGACCAAACAAATGTAACGAAAATAGTTTTAAATTTGATTGTAAGAACTTCGAAGTTTTTTTTTATCCGAGGTAGTCAAATATTATGTTGTTTTCACGAAAATAAGTATTCTCTGATCTCATGACAAGTGTCCTTGTTAAACCTCGAAAAACATGCGCATAAACAATCCTTCGTAATCCAGACCACTATTATACAATAACCACAATTCAGAGTTTTTTTTGTATAGTGCTATATGTTATGCTTTTCATTTTTTTTTGGAGAAATATTTCATGTACGTTTCTATCTTTTTTAAAGAAATATGTAAATTTAAAAGATTTATTCAACGATATTTCCATTTTCAACCTTTTCTTTTGTATTCCATTTTTCACACTGAATTTTAATACTTCATAATATTTCATTTTGGCAAGATGAAAGCTTTTAAAATCTTACTAATATTATAAATGCGAATGCTTGGATGGATGGATGGAAGTTTGTTTGAAGGTATCTCTAGAACAGCTCAACGGATTTTGATGAAATTTTACACTGATAGTCTGGAAGAACATATAGGCTTACTTTTTAAGTTTTTTTTATGCCGCGCGGACGGAGTCGCGGGCGACAAGTAGTAAACTATAAGTTTTATAACTGAGTCTCGCTTTAAGCTATTTCAGATGTTCTATTCGTAAAATCTAGATGTATGAATCTAGAAATTAATCAGTATAGTTACAAATAAATCACAAATTGTTTTACAAATGACATAAATCCAACCACAAATTCTAGCAACAAAGAAACAAGACTTGCAACAAAGTTAGTAAAAATAATAAAGTTTCGCAGGAAGACTGAACGAATTCTTTTCAAGAAATTATTTTTCCAACAAAATCAATGTTGTACACTTTGTTGTTTCCGACATTGTTATTGATACTTCTTGTGGATTTTAAATACTTTTAAAATGTAATCTTTGTTCATTATATACTTGCTTATATATAATCAGAATGTTTAATCATTTCATTAAACACGTATCTGTCATATCTTTACAATGATATTTCTTTCAAAATTTCTTTAATATTAGAATCAATCTATAAGTATTATTTATTAAACTATGAAAAAAGTCATGAAGTTTGTTTATTTTTTATATTGGCCTTATTGAAAAAAATCTAGAATTAAAAATATATTCCAAATATGTTTGAGGTAAAATATTATTTTAGGGATTTCCAAAAAATATTATCTAAGCAAAATTGCGATAGTTATTCAAAGGATGTTTTTCGTTAAATTAATTAGCCGATGTCATAAAAGTGTTTTAATAATGAAAACCTAATATTGTAATAATATGTCGTTGATACCATATGAAAAAAAAAAACAAGAAAAAACCTATTTGGCATTTGTGTCGATATGTCATTTAATTCAAACATTATCCATAGTGAGTTTAAAAAATCAAAATCGCTGCATCAGGAGCGGAATTACGCGGTACCAACAATAAAAAAACTTCAGTTGAATTGTTAACCTCCTTTTTGAAAACTTTTTCCATGAAACATGGAAATGTTTCGCATTTCCATTATTTTGTCGATGGTGACGACTAGTTTGATATAATATTTCTCGTGTACAGAAAGCATTTTAATGCACTATTTCACCTGAATCGGTATTGCGGTTTACCGATGTATAATGAAAAACATTATCGTTACAAAACTATTTTCGAAAACTTGATAAAAGAGTTTTCAGATGTTAATTTGAACTAGCCATCGCTCGCTTCTCCATATGCGCGGTATTAAAAAAACTCAATAAGTAGCCAATGTGTTCTTCCAGGCTATGTTTAGTTTCTATGCCAAATTTAATCTACATACGTTGGGCCCTTTTGGAGATACCTTCAAACAAACATCCATCAATCCATCCATCTAAAGATTTGCATTCATAATATTAGTAAGAATTTTGATCCTTAAATTTTGTCAAAGCAATGTACATTTACGTAATAAAGGATAAATTTGGACTTTTTTTAAATTATATGAATTGGTAAAATAATAAAAATATAACTTGTCATAGATCTTCAAGTTTTCCTTTTATAGAGAGGGTTGTTTTCATCGAACTTTGTATACGTGGGAGGTCGATGTATTTGTAACGACGGGGAAGCAAGGGTAGGGAGTGGGGGGTGAAAGTAGGTCGGCGTCCTGTTGCCAGTTAATTAGATTCGAGTCAGCAGCGAGACTTCTTGTGTAACGGATCAGCTTTACTTTATATCAGAGATTGTATTGGATTTTGTAAAGCAACTTTAGATGAAACTGGAATTGTATTCTGGCTGATCGAGTATAGACAAGTTTTTTTTTTAAAGAAAGGCAAGGGAAACATTTGTTTTAAGACATACAAGATTTCTGTTCTGTTCTGTTTCTTGTTTATGGTTCTCCCTCATCGGATGTGTGTAAATTCGGCAACAATACTCTGCTTGTAGAGAAGTCTTGTGAATAAACAAGTGAACCAAAGAATAAAACTTTTGAATTACATTTTTCTTACCCTTTTTCTTATAAGGAAAGGATGGGAAGTGGAAGTGGACTTTCCGGATGAGAGGATGCATGGAAAGGGAAAATATTTTCTTTTTGTGCATCCTCTCATCCGTCGATTAAAGGCAGGCAACGCATATGCAATTGCGTATGTCTATGCGCAACGGTCACTTCGCTATTTCAGCGATTTCAGGTGGCCGCTCGCTCGTTTGCCACCTTCTGATATAAAAAAAATAACTGAAACTGTTGACATACAAGATTTAAAATGAGAATAAAGAAATAAATTCTTACAAACTTTATTATCTCAGGCAAGGTTATTTGAAAGTAAATTTTTCCAAATTTCTACACTAAAATCTATTTGGATTGTCCTAATTTTAGTTACAATATAATAGAAAACAAGAAAGTATTCAAATGATTGCAACATTGTGACTAGCAGGGAATGTAAAACATTTTCAACACCTATAAAACTTGGGGGAACAATTTCGATGCCAAAATATGTTAAACTTGTCAACTAAATGAATATTTCCATCTATATATGTATTCTTATTTTAATATCTTTATTAATATTTATTGGTAATTTTATGCTGTTATAAATGTATGGGCTATAAGCCCAGAAGAGCTCTCCGTCTAATGCAGGCGAGGTCGCGGACGAAAGCGCAAGCGTGCCCGTGGCCTCGCCATGATGCGTAGGAGGAACAGAGGGGTTTAGTGGGTATGCTTCCCATCCGGAAGAGAATCCCACATAACTACCACGTCCCCCCCGGGGCGCGGAGTATGCATAAAGCATTCCCCTCTGAAAAAAAAAAGAATAGCTCTCCGTCTAAGATTTTATATCCCTTAATTTAAAGTTCTTTTTCAATAATTCATCTGTGTGTTATCTACTCTAATGAGATTGAATGTAGACGGCTACAAAAGTAGAGGAAGACCAAAAAAAGTATGGAATGACTGTGTGAAAGAGGATATGCGTAAGAAGGGGGTAGATTCGGATATGAACGTTGATAGAGATGTATGGAGGAGTAGTACATACTGTGACGACCCTCAATAGGGATAAGGGCAAGTTGATGATGATGACGATGTTATCTACTGCGTATTTTGATATTTAAATTAAATTTGTTATTAAAATATTTCCTGTGAACTGTGTTCTTAGGAATGCTGTGTTATATTTAAATAAATTCTACATGAAAGTTTAATGTCAACTTTGCCGTTTATGTAATGTTATTGTAGTCTTTGAATGTGTCACCGTGAAATTGTAAACTTTGGCATTTTAGAATTGGACTAGGTATCATAAACCCCCGGGCCGCGGACGAGAGCGAAAGCGTGCCCGTGGTCCCGTCCCGATGCGTTGGAGGAACAGAGGGGTTTAGTGGGTATGCCTCCGCTATGGAGGAGAATCCCACATAACTACCGCGTCCCCCCCGGGGCGCGGAGTATACATAAAGCATTCCCGTCTGAAAAATAAAAAAAAAGGTATCATAAACTCTCAAGGAATTGTGTATGGACCAAACCATTTACACCTTGAAGACACTAGCGATAGTTCATTAAAGGTTGGCAACGCATCTGCAGTTGGGGATGTCTATGGGCAACGGTTGCTTCGCTATTTCAGCGATTTCAGGTGGCCGATTGCCACCGTATGATATAAAAAAATTGTGATGGACAGTTTAACTTTACAGTTCTAGATTAAAGTGTTATTGTAATATTTTACCTTTATAATGACTGCAATATATTTGAACAGTGCATACTTAAGTTCACTGCTTTCGTAACCTTATCGCGTGAAAAGCTCAACGCATCCGGTCGACAATTGCATCCGGGCACCTGATTAAGTAAAGTACATTACCATTTTGAATATGGAATCTTGTAAACAAATGCCGACTTAGCCTTTAAGATCTTTACTTAGAAAATTTTGTGTAACCATTAAATCATTTCATTTGGATTGAAGAAAACAATTGGCTGAAAACAATCGACGACAATAGAAATTAAAAAAAATATTTGTTCTTGTATCATTGTCAATTCACATATTAAAGACAAGCTGTACACGCGACTCTGTCCGTGCGAAATTAAAATAAAACTTAATAGCCTAAATGTTCTACATCTATGCCAAATATCAGCAA